CTCCTAATTATACTATCGTTTTACGAGCCTGTTAAGCCATAAAAAACGCCATAAAAGGGGTCACACGGGGAAGTACAAGAGCAGTCAACAGGAGGCCAGGGAGACCTGTCACAGTCAGGCTGAGCGGTCAGCAGCAGTTAGCAACAGTCAACAAGGAGGCCGGGGAAGAGACCTGTCAGGGTCAGTCAGCAGGTGGAGCGCCACGCCAACCAGTGTGAACTACTATGAGAGTTCAACCCAGACCGGGAGCCGGCTTATGAACTATACCACAAAGTAGCTGTCCCCAAACCACATGTTCATATTGAAATAAATCACGTAAATCTATTTCTGCTGTTGTCGTATTTCCTTCTTGCAACCATACACTTGTCTATAACAGTAATAATCACGTTTTTGGCAAAGTATAGAAAAAAAACTAAAATTAGAGAAACATTGGTCAAAAGGTCAGTTTTTAGATTTTGAGCTGACATTTTTTTTATTCACAAGATGGAGGTGAAGTAGACTTAATAGCATCAGATTTAAAGTTGTGACAAATTATTTTCATATTTTGGACTTGTCTCTTTATTAAAATCCTTTACAATAACATTTACCCTTTGGAAATTAAGAAAAAGGTTTATTTCTTTTTTGAAATATTAACTTCATTGCTTTCATTAAGTAAGTAATTAACTTTCATTTTCTTTTCTCTTCACATTTTATTTCCTTGTTTTGTCGGGGACAAATTCTATATTTAAATCATTTCTTTACAGTTTTATCAATATACTTTCTTGCATTTCACTTAGCATAAACCGTATTTATTTGATTAGAGGAATACGACTGAAATAGTTTTTTCTTACACATCAACTTCAAGTACAATTGAGTATTTGAATTCACAGTATGATTCATCAGATCAATAGAAGATGTCGAAATCAAGTGGTATTAATACACACTCCTTACACTATGTCAATCTTGTTAACTTTGACTTGTGTGTATTAAGATATATATGAGAGGTTATAAAAACTGTCCTCTGTGCACAGTCTATAATCTCAAAGTCTATTGTATTCTATTAGGAGTTTCAGCTTTTTACTGATAGAACAGTCTATCTTTTATCAACACCACTTAAGTTGAGGCTTATCATTTTGAATTGGTGGGCAGAGCATAATCCAATCATTTTTGGGATAAAGGAAGATTAAAGTCAATCAGCTTCATCTACCACAGTGTCTTTGGTTTTATAGAAATGCTCATTTATATCTGATATTCCAGTATCTTCCATTTAAATAATATCAGCCCCACATTCTACAATGCATAAAGAATATATTTGTTGATAGCAAAGCAACAGAGATAAGCATTTAATATGTATTAAAAGATTGAAGTTACATTTCTCATATTAAGGAAACAGCGATACTCTACTCTGCTGTTGAAGGTTCAACAATGTACAGTCTCTATTATTTGTTCTCTTCAAGGCTGAATATCTTAAAAATTGAATATGTCAAGAAATTCGGATAACATACAAAACAGTTAAATAAGTAACATGTGCACCTCAATTAAAAAATAATTTATATATATATATATATGTGTGTGTGTGTGTGTGTAGTTACAGAAAATAAATAAAAATAATCTAAACTATAGATATTGTAAAAGGCAAAAAAAAACTGATACCTTTCTAAGTGAACATTTCTAGTTTTTATATCTGTATTGTTACATATTATCTTAACCCAACGTTCCTGACCATATATTTTAAAGGAAATGAACTGAGTGCATGCATGAAAACACTTAAAAATCAATTTTATTATAGGGGTTTTACACTGAGCTTCTGTACACATCCATAAAACTGATTGTTATTTTTGCTTATATTTTTTCTGTATAAATGATATATTGCTTTATAGAATTATTCAATTAATGAATTTCATAGAGGTTTATTTCTACTATGCACAGAATGAGAAAAATGTATAACTATTCTAGAACAATACCTAAAACTTATATGTCCCAAACTAAAAATCTTTCTATCCAAAATCAGACTAGCTTGAAATTGAATCTTATTTATTTGCTAATAATCTAAGTATCTAATAAGTCTATTAAAAAGAGACAAATAAGAAAAACAGATACATGTATAAATTTATAGACTAATTGCTCAAATATGAAAAGGTTATAATAATAGATGGTTATAGTAAAAGGAAATGATGGTCAAGTACTACAAGTTATGTTCTCTGAATGTGCAGTAAATATATAAAAATCAAGAGATCAGTTGAGTCTTCTACCTTGGTTTCAACCTCAGGTGATTTTTATCAAATGACCTCTTAACACTTTATTTTTTTAAAAAACTAATGAAAGTGATATTGTTTTTCTAAAAAAAAAATAAATAAACACAGAGCCCTTGTTAAAAATTTTAGAGATCTTATATAAGAGTATTATAAAATTATCCAATTGAAAATTAAATTTTGAAATGTATATTGTTTTTTTTTTTCTTTATCCATTTCATGTTTATAAGAGGAATTTCTAATATGTATGCAATGACACAAAACCTTAATTTCTGATTCAAAAGAAAATGTATATTTCAATTACCCCCACCAGTTTTGATACTTTTATAATACCCTTTTTAGATATTTTTCTTTCCCTTTGGGAATTTTTTCTTCACATCCTGCTCCTCCCTTTATATTACACCCAATGTCATGTGTGTGTGTGTGTGTGTTCGTTTATTTTTTAAATTAGTTTTTTTAAAAAATAAAGTGTTGAGGGGTCATTTGATAAAAATTGCCTGAGGATTCCCTAAGGTTGAAACCAACATATCTCTTGCTTTTTAAAGTTAAAAGCTCTACCTGTTATTTTCATTTTATTTTTTTCACATCTATATTAAGCACTTTTTAATACTACTGTCTCCTGGTCTGATTCAATTCTGACCATTAAACTTTTATGTGTGTGTATATATGTTTAATTTTTTTTTAATAAAAAGGTTAAAAACAGAAGGATATACTGAACATTTTGCGCTAATTCTATAATTTTCCATTCTTCGGTCAACATAAAGTTTTTCTTCTGTCTTTAGAATTCTACTTTAGGATTGATTTTCTGGCAATATTTAGCACTGCCACTTGTTTAGTGAGTTCTGCAAGAGTAGACAATATTTATTTTGTTATTTTTCTTTACCTCTAATGGTTTTAAATATGATTAATAAGAAATAAAAAATCTTATGCAGCAATAAGAAAGGATAAGAGTAAAATTTGTTACAAGAAACTAATGAAACTGGCTGAGCTAGGGAACTGGTTCCATTGTTTTCAGATCATATTTCTATTAAAATAGCTTGGAATTCTATTGATATTAAGTACGGATTTGAATTCAACTGAACTAAATCTAAAAAGATTTATTTCTGGAAGTTTAATACCAATTAATAAAAAAAACTGTCTTTGATACCTTAAAGTATGACCATCATTTCAGCCATTTTTAGTGCAGTTAACATTACATTAAAATATCTGATGATAAAATAGAATGAAATGCAATGTTTTTAATAGATCTTTTAATACAAAACTAAATAAATATTTAAACTTTTAACAAATTTAACAAAAAGTTACATCATAAAGAGTAAATAATTTATAGAATGATGAACAAAAGTAAATTAAATGTATAAGATGCTAACCAATATTTTAGGGAACTTAAGGAACAAAATGGTCTTCTGAAAGTAAGAAAATGTAGATTAGGAAATAGTTTATTTCAAGGTGGATTAAATTTTGAAAAATCCTTCCCTAGAATTAAATATGGAAGGTTGAGTTATACCTAATTTTCGTTTTGGAAAACCAATTACAATGATGAATGTTTGGAAGGAAAATCAATTGACAGCTAAGACAAAGTTGGTAACAATAACATCCCTAAACAATGTGCATATCCTTTCTATTACGCTCCAAAGTATAGAATTTTTTTTATTTCTAGTGGATCATTGGACAATCAAAACAGATCTTATTAAGTATAATTTATGACTAAATTCTACAGCATTGTAATTCTGTAATTAAAAATAAGTCCATTCCTGTAAAAAAAAAAAAAGAAAAAAAAAAGAAAAAAAAAAGAAAAAAAAAAAAAAAAAAAAAAAGAAAAAAAAAAGAAAGATTTTTTAATTCTATATCAGTCAATTATGTGCCATGCATGATAACACACGTAGGCAATCATGCATCTTTCAATGTATGACTGATGAGGCAGATTTTTTCCCATAGTAGTTTGCCATTTCTTTCTGCAGTAGACCAGTTGCCATCCAAGGCTATAGAACCCAATCTGTCCTGCTATTTCCTCATAGCTAGGGGGAGAAGAAGAGGATTCATACCTTTCCCAATGGTATTAGCACGTAAGTGAATGTACTGGATTCGATTGGAATTTGAACTCGGCTCTCTGATTCCTCAATCTGAGCTGCTATCCATTACTCCACCGTGATAGTAAGTATTATTAGTCAAGATTGATTATTTTTTTCCTGATAGAGGATTAAAACATAAGTAGAGTCAAATAGAATCTTAATATAACTATACAGATAAAAGATTTCTTTAACATTGTTTAGGAACAAAAAAGACAAAGATTGCTAAAAAAAATTTAGGCGACATAGGCTTTGAGATATTCTTAGTAAGGCTCAAAAGTTTACATAATGCCCAGACTTTATTGTTCACAATTTCAGTACCTTGTTAACAATAATTTTTATACACTTTTAATAATGCATGAAACAGATGTTTGTCTACTGTATGCTAAAACAACTAGCTGTTATCAGCAAGTAAATAATTCATTCATTTTCTATGGCTTATCAACCCTTTACAAGTTATTTAAAACCAGAAAATATTTTTTAGATTGCAAGAATTTTTTTTTGAGATGTGGGGGAGGAGATAATAATGATTTTACAGAGACAAGTTTTAACCCATAGCTGGGAGGAGAATAGGTGGATTCATCCCTTTTTCAAGGGTATTTGAATGTAATTGAATATAACAAACTCGACAGGAATAGAAACTTGGCTTTGTGATTAACAATTCTTAGCCATTATCCATTACATCACCCATAAATCCAAGCTTACAACACCTGGTATTCTCAACCAGTCACCCATCTAGGTACTGACCAGGCTCTATGTTGCTTAAATTTGGTGATTTTATGGGAACCGGTGTTTCAACATGATGTGGCACTTAAGCATCTACAAGTAAGAATTAAAAGTTTCTTTTGTTAGATCAATTTTTTGGAATTAAATGTAAATTTTAACTATAAAAGTTTTTCCCTTAAAAAATAAATTCCAGCCAATGTATTTGCATCTCACAACAAATCATGCACATTTAATCATTTCCCACTCACTAGGCACTAATATTAGCATTAGTGTATCTATTGGTAAATTAACACTGAATAAACAGAAATGAAAGACTAGATAAACACCCATACACAATTAAAACATTTAATAAATACATATTATATTATACAAAAATGTCACAATAATCTGCACGTGTTCCAAACCAGATAAATGTATGCATTGTTCCAAGAACAAGCATGTCTGAACTGAGGTACAGATAAAAGACACAAATGTCTTACTGTTTAAGTGATGTTTTTCTTTAAAATATTAAATGACAGAAAATACTTAAATTACTGAATTAGAATACATTAAGTTGTTGCAAGAAGTTATCATATTAATTTTTCAATTGTTTTATCTTAGCATGTTGTTAATTAAATGCTTAACTATAAACAATCATAAAATAAATATAAATCTTTTTGATCATCATTAATAAGTAGAAGAGATCAGAAAGTAGTGAGACTGTACAAGTTGCAATAAGACTTACAATAGATATTGTAATTGTTTTATACAGGAAAGAAATTTTATGCTCAGATGATTTCATTAAGACATTTATCAAGTAATATTTGCTTTACTTTATGTTATATAGCATACCTATGAACACTAATGGGCACGTCCCAATCCTCATAAATATGTTGGACACTATTGTAAGTGGGGGTAATATGGTGTCCATCACTAGCAGTGGTTTACCTACTTCATGCCACTGGCAAGTATTGTATTTTGTTGATGCTATAAAGATTACCATTTCATTTTCAACTTCCATTTTGGTTATTCCTCATTCAAGAAACCTTTCCTAGGTTACAACACTTTAGAATATGCATAAAATATTTTCTTAAAATATATGGGCGATAACAACTGAAATTTGATAAAAAAAATTACTTTAAATGTTAATATTTGTCAACTTTTAAATCAATAGCTACAACAAATATGTATCAGAAATTTATTTTTATTTATTCATTATTATATTATTTAAGGAAATTAAAAGCAGAATACAAAAATCAGCAGAATATATGAATGAAAATTACAGAAATGTTGTAGCTTTTCTTATTTGTAAGAACTGCCACCCCTAAAAAAAGCAAAGAAATAATCAGTGAATACAAACAATAAAATCCAATACTTCCATTAGCCTAAAACCAGTCAATGTATCCAACCAGAAAACTGACAAAATAAGAGAAAAATCAGAATTTTAAAAAAGAATAGTGGTAAGACAGACATCCATTCACTTAACAACAATGACAACTATTTTTCAAACTTTTAAAGACTTTTGACATTTTTTATCATGCACCTTATTTTTTATTTAAAATTTTTGTTAATATCAATAATCTAGGTGAAAGTACAGAAACATTATTTTAAAAAGAATGACATACTTTCATATATTTTTTAAAATCCTTAATGGCAATAACCTGGATGTGTGGATTGTGTAAGGGATAAACAGCTTGGAATGAGAAATCAGAGGGACAAAATCAAATTCCAGTTGAGTTTTTTAACATTCACTTAAGCACAGAAGAAATGTATGAATCCATCTTTCCCCCACCAACTATAGGTTAAATAGAAAGATAGACTGGGCTCTCTAACCATGATTAGCTACCAAAAGAGAAGGACAACTCTGAATTCAAAAACTATAACAAATATCTATGTTCCTCAACCCTCAGCAATGGGGAAGGAAAGAAAAAAAAGAAAAACCAATGGCAATAACATCCCCATTATATTTGACACTAAAAAATTTAAGTAGCTGTTATATTTTCGTAAAGAAAATAAAAGAAAAGAAAATAGGAAACTATCTTTACTGTCCACGTCAAATAGGAAACTATCTTTACTGTCCACGTGACTTTTTCACACGTCCCCATTCCTCTTTAAAAGCTGCGTTCTTCTTCCTTTGTTGATTGCTGCTGTGAATTAAGTTCAGTAAAGCCTTAGTGAAAGGTTACTAGCTTTCTTCTCTGAGCAACGTAACAATTTACTGAACTTACTTCCTCATGGACAAGATTATTCGTCTGGACAAGTTTGATATATCTTCTGCAGACCCTCAGGCTAGCAAGCTCTGGAGACTATGGTACCGTAAATTTTAATTATTACTTATCAACTATTGCTTCGTTAAACCCTGACAAACTCGAAGTCCTTTATTTAAATATCGGTGCTACCATTGCTGATGTTATCGAGGGTTGTTCTGGATTTGAACATGCTGTTGAATTGCTGAGAAGTGTTTATGACAAGTCTCCAAGTATTATTCACGCTAGACATTTGTTGTCTACACGTCTGCAGCAGGAAAATGAGTCTGTAGACCAATACCTTCAGGCCTTGAATCGACTTGCTGCTGACTGTTGCTTCCAAGATGTTACTGCTACTACTTACAGGGATGAATCTGTCCGTGATGCATTTATACGTGGTCTCCGGTCCTCGTAATACGTGCCAGACTGCTTGAAAATGATACGCTAACTCTCAAGGAGGCTACTCAAATGTGCTAGAGCCTTAGAACAGGCTCACTTTTCGTGCTGAGTCATACACTTCTCAGATTGGATCAACTGCTGCTACTACCACTAGGACTAAAAAATGTGGTTACTGATTCTGCCGAGGAGGCCACTTCCACTACTACTACTAAAAAATGCTTTCAGACTTAACTGATTCTCGTACGGAGGTGACTCTGTACAATTGTCTGCTGCCTTTGCTCATGGCAAGTGCTACAACTGTGGAGGAAAACGTCATTTTAAGGATAATCGTCGCTATTGTCCTGCCCGTGATAAGATATGTCTAAACTGTGGAAAAACTTGGTCATTTTTCTAAAGTTTGCCGTTCTACCATGCCAGCACCTTCACGTTCTACTTCAGCTATTATAGTAGCCCGTGCTAAAAGACGATGATAGGTCTCCTCCAGTTACTAAAACTTTAGAATTAAAAGGAAAGAGATTAACTGCCCTCATAGACACCGGTAGTTCTGATAACTTTATCAGTGCCCGTATTGTTAAAACAATGAAACTGTCTAAACGGAATTCCATAATTTCCATGGCATCATCTGCCATTTCCCTCAAACTATCTGAATATTGTACTGAGGACATTATCTTCAATGGTTACGAATATAAACAAATTGACTTTACAGTACTTCCTGGTTCCTGTGTGGATATTATACCGGAGTGCCCTTCTTAAAACTACACCAGAGTATCACTATTTCTTTTGGTGGATCTCAGGATATTCTAAAAATCTGCGCTCTAACCAAGATCAGTTGTGCTCCTGTTAAGTTGTTCAAACTTGACCCCTGATTGCAAACCCATTGCTACTAAATCCCGAAATTACCGCTGCGCGGAGGATGGTCGGTTCATTGAAAAGAAATTCTACAACTGCTTAAGGATGATATAATTGAAACAAGTTACTCTCCGTGGCGTGCTCAAATTGTCGTAACTTCGTCACCTAATAAAAAGAAACGATTGGTAGTCGATTTCTCCCAGACTATTAATCGGTTCACCTTACTTGATGCCTACCCCTTGCCTCGAATTGAAGATCTCGTAAACCAAATAGCCCAGTATCGTATCTATAGTATAATTGACTTGTCCAAAGCGTACTATCAGATTGAAATTTGCCCTGAAGATCGTCCCCTATATGGCCTTTCAAGCTGGAAACCGTCTGTACCAATTTAAACGAATACCCATGGGTGTTACTAACGGGTTTCTGCCTTTCAGCGATTTATGAATTCTTTCATTTCTGATAACAAATTATCTGGAACCTTTTCGTATATAGATGATATAACTGTTTGTGGTAAAACCCAGGAGGAGCACGATGTCAATTTGGAATGTTTCTTAAAGGCTGCCTCGACATACAACCTGAAATAAACCGGAAAAATCAGAGTTTTCACTTGTTCTATTAACATGCTTGGATATCAAATTTGTAACGGAACTATCCAACCCGATCCTGAGCGTTTGAAACCACTTTTACAAATGCCTCCTCCTCCTCAAATTCGTTAAAAAGGTGTCTTGGTATGTTTGCTTACTATGCGAAATGGATACCTAAATATTCACACAAAATTCGTCCACTGGTCGAAAATAAACAATTCCCCTATGCCTCCTATAGTTATAAATTCTTTCGAAAAACTTAAGAAAGACATTGCCGAGTCATCTGTAAAAGTTATTGATGATGAATTGCCATTTACTATTGAAACCGATGCCTCAGAAAAGGCTATTGGAGGCACTCTTTTACAAGCTGAGCGACCTGTAGCATTCTTTTCTCGGTCGCTAAACCCCTCTAAAATACGACTTCACATAGTCGAAAAAGAAGCATATGCTATAGTCGAATGCATTCGTAAATGGAGAGACCTTCTTGCCGGTAAACATTTTACTATTATTACTGATCAACAAGCCGTATCTTTTATGTTTAAACCTGCTAATCGCGGAAAAATTAAAAACGATAAAATTATAAGGTGGAAAATGGAACTTCTTCCCTTTTCATACGACATAAAACACTGTCCTGGAAATGAAAACACAGTTGTGGATACCTTATCCAGAGTATGTGGTGCTGCTGCTTCTTCCTTGAAGGAACTTAAACCGATACACGATTCCTTAATACATCCTGGGGTACAGCGCTTTTTGGCATTTTGTAAGGTCTCAGAATATGCCATATTCATTGATGAAGTCCGACGTGTGACTTCTGAATGTACGACCTGTGCCAAAATAAAACCCCAATTCTTCGATTCTACTAGTAATGTTCTGATCCGTTCTACTGCGCCATTTCAGTGTCTCTCCATAGACTACAAAGGGCCTGTCCCGTATCCCCGACAGGTTACCGATATATACTTTACTGTCATCGACGAATATAGTCGATTTCCTTTGCCTTTTTCCTTGCCGCGATTGCTTTT